TAATTCTACATCGAATCAATGTTGGTCAGCATTAAGATCGACAATTGGAGTGCTAGGAATTGAAATATCATTTTTTAATAAAACATGCATGGAACAAGAATGCTATGAAATCATTGACAAGACGTGTCCAGATATGTTTTTCTATCCGGATGCTCCACTTTTTTTCCATGATATTCGTTTGGCATTCAAAAGACTGACATTGTATCTCAGAAAATGGGGGATTATAGATCAGCTTATATATGTTATAACAGCTCTTATTATGGTGACTATTCTCCTCTTGGTAACAAGTTTCTTTTCAAAAATGCAACTTGCTATTATCCTGGCTATATGTTTCCTTTTCTGCTCCCACCTCTGACATTGGAAGACTTTTATCTACAACTCTTATATATAGTAATCGGTACGATGAAAGTGCACTATCTTATTTATAATTATACTAATGAAATTTGTAATCGATCGAATATGTATCAATGCATTAATTCTTTGAAATGTATCTCAATGGATCATCTGCTCGATGCGATAATAGACTGTCCAAAAGAAGATGACGAAACTATAACGCACATTATTGATTCTGGTTGGACCAATAAGTATAAAAATCTTTTCAAATGCGAAATAAATAATCTCTATATTCATCAGTTACTTGTTAAAGATGGACGTTGTCAATGTTCAGTCTACGATACAGCGTCTTGGTGTGAAGATGAAGATGAAGGTTATGCTATAGCTCGAAAGAAGCTTTTGTTTCAAACTGTTTGTAATGGAGCAAATGATCTAACTCCAATAAATATTGATGAGCAAAATAGAACTGATGAAACAGAATGTGAACGATGGCCATGTAACAATATTTATACTCGTTGTGATAATATTTGGCAATGTTCAAAAGATGAAGATGAAATCGGTTGTTATTCGTTTTCAACACTAAATTGTTCATCGAGTCATCACTTATGTGTTTCATTCAACACCAATCAATTCGAATGTTTACCATACGACAAAGTAAATGACAACAACATCGATTGTGTTGGTGGTACTGACGAACCAACAATTTGTCGAAAACAGGTTTTTGCTCATGAAATTAATAATGACATATTTGCATGCAAAAATTCGAGTTCAAATGTATGTTTTACATCATCCAGTCTATGTATTAATTACTTTGAATGTCAATATGGAGATGACGAATTATTTTGCACCACCGATAGAAATATCTCTCGTAACCGTGGTATTTGTTGGACAGAAGACATGACTAGACTTTCTCAAGTTGAGCAATTTTTATGCGAAACATTCATCACGAAAAAGAAACCAGTGCTTAAATACTTTTCATTACTTTGATCGACTGAATCTAATTCACGTCTTCAAAGAGACAATTTTGCAATATCATCAAGTAACCGTATAGGTCAAGAT